TGGAGAGGGAAAGGGAGAGAAAGAAAAAAGGAGGGAAGCAAATTTCATTCCTTTATAATAGAGAGATTTCCATTCTTAAAATCGAGTAAAACAATTACCAAAAAATAAAACTGTATGTTAATTTTAGCCTTCGAGTCGTTACTACTTGCTAATACATACAATAATGACATAATTTTTCTTTATTTGTTTCAAATCTCTCTCTCCCTCCTTCCAAAAAAAAAAAAAAAAAAAAAAAACGGTAATCCTTAAATTACAATCACTTTTATCAAATATATCACACATTTACCATCTTTTAAATTTCCTGATAATGTAGTTGATAGGTAATAAATTTAATTATTATACTATTTATACTAATTAAATAAAAGATATTAAATAAAATACCACCAATTTAAGTTATTCCTTCCATTCTATTTTTTCCCACACACACACACATATATAAATACAGAAGAAAAAAGAAAACATTTATATTTCTATTTTAAAATCTCTTAAAAAAAAAAAAAAGGAGAAAAGTTTCCTCTTCTTCTAATTATTTCCTTATATGACAGGACAAAAAAAAAAAAAACCGAGAATTGAACATCTGGTCTCTTAAATGAGATCTATCGTCATCAACGACAGCTGTTAATACTACCTGTTAGCATCATAAATCAATCGAAAGCTTTTGCCCCCTCTAAAAGCTATTCATTATTTTAATACTTATAGCTCATTACCATCAGTACTCATTACCATTTCCAGTATTCTATAGATATACAGAAAAGAATGCTAATGAAAAATTTTAAAAGAATGTTTAATTTCTCATTATAAATTAAAGGTGAAAAAATTATAATTTTAAAAAAAAAGTTTGAAAAAACATGAGCAAAATGTAAAAACTTATATAACTCGGATTAGAATGAAATAAGAAATTTTTAAATTATTTAAAATATTTATTAATCAAAAATTTCATAAATCTAAAAAAAAGCTCAATTCATACTAAAATAAATCACAATGTCAGAATTCAAACTTCGCTTGTCATAAAATTAAAGTCATGAAAAAACAATTTTAAAATTATTTTTATGCATATCACAGGTATGAATTATTATATAAAAAAACTCATATATTCCAAAATATGTTTCTATATAAAAACTACAAATGCTTTTTATTTTTTTTCTCATTAATCGTATTCAGTTTTTAAAAAAAGTTGAATGTTAGAAAATTTCTTGACAATATCATTTCATTTATTAGGATCATTAACCAAATGAGATATTGCAAAACTAAATATACTCAAATGTTTTAAAGAGTATAGCATTTTTTTTCCTCCCTCTCTCTCTCTCTCTCTCTCTCTCTCAGGGTTTAATTGATGGAAGAATTTAAGAGTTAGTTAAAGAGAAAAAAAAATTTACCAAAGTGTAACTGAGTCTTTTTTTCACTTTGTAAAAAAAAAATCACTGTTAGCTTAAAATATGAAATAGAACAAATGAAAATTTTCATCTAATCTCAATTTTTTATTTTTGTTCCTTCTGAAAAAATTTTATTTTTATATTATTATCTATCATATAGATAGTTGCAGTTATTTTTTTCTACTTTAAAAGCTCTCAATTTTTCTACTTTAAAAATTCAAAAAAAAAGAGAAAAACCCATTTTATTACTTGAAAAACACTCACTTATATTACTCCGTGCTGTACAACTTTTTTTTTAAAAAAGAAAATATAAGTATTATTGAGATAAAATATTTGCAACAATTCATCAACACTATCTTTTAATAATACATAGGTTTCGTTAAAAGTAATAAATTATCTTAGCTTTTCCATTTATATTATTATTTATTCCTGTTACTAATAATTCATTTACTATGAAAAACAGTTCAATAAGGGAAAAAAAAAAAAAAAAAACCTTGGCCTACTTTCTTTTCAAATTATTTTTTCGTAAGTTAATGTTATATCATTCTTTAAAAGGTTTTATATAATCTTATATAGGCTTTTAATTCTAATTGCATTCTATAATTTTTGATAAGATTTATGATGATATAATATTAAAATTGAATCATTTCGTTAATAGTTATTTAGAAAACGTAATAACTTAAAAGAGGGAGAAAAGCCTTTTCTTTTCATTTTCTTTTTACATCTTTACAAATGTAATATAGTAACTTTTATCTTAGTCTATAAACATTTCAAATTATTATTTATGATTTTAATATTTTTATTTATCGAAATATTCTCCTCACTTTTTTTTATGCTATTTGCCATTTGTGTCCCTAATTATTACTCTTTGTGCTGCTGTCCCACTTTACCATTAATGATTTAATTGCTTTTTATTATAATTTGCATCAATGAGAATATATGCATAGTCTGCATGAATATATAAAATGCTTCGATAACATGATGAAATTTTATCCTATTCAATATAATTTCATTACAATTTTATTTTATCGTATTTGTCTGATATGTAAGTAAGATATACTTTTTTAATTTTTTTTCCCTTTTTCTTTTTCTTTTTTATTGCATTGCATTTTCATACCTAAAGATTGTTTATTACATTTTATACCTAAGGAACCAATTTTTCTTTTTACCAAAACTGTTAGAATGATATTAATTTAAAAGTAAAGATTAGTTGGACAATAAAACAATATTAAAGCATGGCAAAGATGCAGTAGAGATAACATATAATGGTATATTTAGGAATATATTCTTTTCAATAAATTTTAAATCTTGCAAAAAAAAAAAAAAAAAAAATGAAAGTTAATGATTTGAAATAAGTCCAAAAATGCTTCGTGTTGAATAACAAAATTCAAATGTTTTATGATATCTGCAGATTATTTAAACTAAAATATGTAATGACTTCATTCATAATTCTTCTTGGTTGCTATGATACGGACAGTATGGGAATATACTTATACAGGTAGAGGTGAGGTACACCTCTACCTGTATAAGTATATATGAGTACCTCTACATTTCAAGGATGAACACAACAAAAATGAAAATGATAATAATTAAAATATAAGGAGCAGAGAAAATGGTCGTCCTTGGCAACAACTCAAAAGAGTAACCTAAGTGCTCTACGAATAAATTTAACACAATAAATCTAAACAGATAATATTTTACTTTTTTTTTTTTAACACTAACGCATCATAAAACATTATCTAAATATATTGCACATCAAATTCCTAATTTTAAAATGTCAATATCATAAAAGAATATTGAAAAGCATATCAAGCATTTCATCCTAGCATATCAAACGGCCATAAATATTTATATTTTTTAGTTTTTTTTTTTTTAGCGAAATAAAATGATTGATATTTTGATGTAAATATGGAATATTTTTAACAATATAGCTGTAAAAGTAAACATCACTTGATCGATAAACAAACAGTAAGAATAATAATAGTAATGGAATAAAAATAACAATAGTAATAAATAATGATAATACTAATAATCAGAGAAAATTTTAGATAACCATTGTAACAACAGCTAAGATAATGAAATAACTATGAAGAGAGCAATAATAACGATATCAAAGATAACGGATAATTTTTTGCTGAATGTATTTCGAATGGCAATAAAATGAGATGAAAAAAAAAAAAAAATTGACAGCCACATGACTTTTAATGGGTAAAAAGTGTCACCTGTTTATTGATATCTTTTGTCATTGCGACATATATATATCTAGGCTTCCTATCAAACTAAAATGCTTGGCACATAAATCAACTCTTCTCCCATCTCTTATACACATATGTATTCAAAGAGTCATCTGCAAATTAATTAGCAAAAAGAGCTAAAGCATTAAAACAGAAAAGCCTAATACTGGCTATTACTAGAACAATGCCTCTTTAATCAGATCTTCCACAAATATCAAATTTGAAAAAAGCTATTAGGATTTCTCCCTCCTTCTATTTCCCTTCCTAAATATTTATATCTATCGCGGATTTTTAGTATCGAGAAACTCTAAAATATTATATAAGAGTAGAGAATATAGGTAAAAATATGTTCGATGAATTTATCGCAAAATAACGTTTATTTCTAAATTCTTTGTTTCCAATTTTATGTTTAGAATGTAAATCTTTCACACATTGTTTACACAGTATCGGTTCTTTATTTAGTTGACTTCATTATTGTTTGGTTATTAACTGTAAATTATGTTTGAATAATCTACAAAATTAACAACTTTTACTTAACTCACCTCCTTTGCGGCTTATCAACTAGTAATTAGATTTACTTGTGACCGAAGAAGCAGTTCGACCACAAAAAGAGATTTTATTACTTGGACGATCTCAATTCATTTTATAAAATTTATTATATTGTTGCTTCTCTGAATTATTATATTCTACTGTTATATATTACTATCTACAGTCAACAAAATTCCCTGAGAATAATAAACCTCTTCCAAAGTTTTAAAGAAAAAAACCCTTAGCTACAATATCTGAAATTTTTGTTACAAAAATTCAAAACTAAACAATTTTATACGATACTTCCTATTCAGGATACAGGAAGTTAAGGTCACTACGATGTAGTATACGATAATTGTATACTTGTACTTTTATTTTTCGGTTGAATGCTGCATCGAGATTTTCAATACTGACAAGGATTTAATTTCTATTTTCTCGGAAAAAGCAAAACTAATTATGATAAATAAAGAAAGAAACGATAAGTAATATCCCTATAGCTCCGTTAGATAATGAAGTTAAATATTATCCAATTATTGCATTGTAAGACACATTTTAAAGTGCATTATATACATACAAACATGCAAAGTTCTACGTGTTACATGCGATATCTTATTATTACTAAAACTATGACTAACATTTTCAAAAAAAAAAGAAACTTTAGCTGATATGATGATAACTACAAGGATCGCTACAATCATTAAATGTCTATTATGATAAATGCTTCTCACTTATTTCTCTTGTAGAAAAATGTTGATCAGTTAACAAGAGTGGATAGGAGAATGATAGAATAATACAGAATCAATATTTAGAAATAAGTTCTGAAAAACTACTTAAACATTATAAGAAATCCCTTTTAAACACTAACCAAGTGGTAATTTTGATGCCCAATTTGATTCTTGTTCTGATTCAAACAATCCGGTTAATGCATTATGTTTGTTTGTTGTTGCAATAGAGGATGACAATGATGGTATTGTAACTGATCGAGGTGATTCAATTTCAACTTTTCGACGTTTCGTTTGCTTGCGACGTCGATTTGCAAACCAACGATTCACCTGAAAGCTGAAAATTTAAAAAACTGGAATGCAAAGCTAATAATATTCTATTATTCAACAATGGTAAAACTCGAAAAAAAAATCTCACTTTACTAAATTTAAGTCTCATATTAAGGTATTTCACATAAATTCAAAAATAAATGAAAATCGTGAAGATTGCATTACTTCGGAATTAGAGAGACACTGTAATAAAGAGAAAACCAAATACATATCAACAAAAAACTAAGATACCGTTTGATTTGTTGGAGAAACGCAAACTAAGATACCGTTTGATTTGTTGGAGAAACGCGCCAAAAATAATAACGCAATAAAAATCTTGCTTTTATTCTTGCAAAAAAAAAGAGAAAAAGCTTAGTCGAATAAGTCGCAGAAATAGCACAAGTAGTTTTAATTAAGATAAAATTTATTTTAGGTATTGTTAAGATTTAAGATGTGAACAATTATTTGTTACATCTCAATCATGTAACAATTATTTTAATTATCCCTCTTTAATTAAGCACTATTTTTAAACAAGAATAATGACCATTTTTACAATACAAAATAACCAATAAACAACAAATGGGTCAAATACAAAGAAAAAAAATCATAAAATCTTTTCAAAAAAAAAAAAAAAATGGGACTCGAAAATTTACCAAAGTTATCAATGTAGAGACGATAAAAATTCAATGCCTAGTAAGCACATTCACCATTCTTTTACTACCTTTACTCCAAAGCCAAGGTCATCATTTCTCATCAAGGATTCACATTTCCCATTAAGTCATTAACCAATCAATTGGCAATGACCTCATATATCAGCTGAGATCATATGAATTTGAAAAGTAGCTCATCGAAAATAGATGAACCATTAAAAGTCATTTCAATTAACCAAAGAAAGTTCATTTCTAATGCCAAGATAATCTAACAATCAGTCAAATGATCTAAATGAACATTTCACTTAAAAATCATTACTTCATTCCATAAATTACCGCTCTTTACAATTTACATCATATTCATCAGTAAAACTTAACACCTAACGTTACTCAGTCAACTTATCCTCAAATATATTATTCATTTAATAGAGAATATATTACAGTTTACATCCGTGGCTGAATAAACATTTCCATTCAAATGTTCACCTATTAATTTATACATTAATTATATTATTCTCGAGAAATATTCTCAACAATTCTAGCAATCAACAATAATCTGTTATTCAAAATTTCACATTTCAGTGTTCATAAACACTCTCTCGAAAAAAACAAAACCTTTCTTTACTCTTTTTCATGAAGCATTCTCATCAATGATTATTATATGGAAAGCGATAATATCATTATTATTATTATCATCATCACCACTATCATTACAGCTAAATAATAATAGTTTAGATTGGCTAACATATACAGCAACAAACCAACCAACTGATCAATTCCATCTTAAACAGAAATATTTCAACACACAAAACAACTCATTTATAAACAATTCACATCTGGTATGATATCACTACCCAAACATTTCTCATAATCAGTTCAACATTATTTATAACTCTGTTTACATTCATCACCATAAACGATTACATTTCTATCTTTAACAAATATTACGTACATATTTAAAAAAAATTTTTTACTTCTCTCAAGTTATTCTCCATCCACAAACTTATTTTCCTCTTTTAACAATTTAAAATTATTTCTTATTTTCATCTCTTTCTTTCTTTCTCTCTCTCTCTCTCTCACACATCAAACTCCTTTTCTTACACGCATATTATATATCTAATTTTTGTAATAATAATAATAATAAAAAAAAAAAAAACCTGCCAAGAGTTAAAAAAAAAAAAAAAACCACACGAAAAAGTGTCAATTAAATATTGAAAATACATTCTATTTTCATTCATGAAATATGCAAACATAATGATTCATTCTTAAAATGTTAACAAAAAAGAAAAGAAAAAGATAGAGAGTTAAAATGAATGTATGAAATAAGATGCTCAATACATACATACATCTATATACATTGTTAGAAATTTCTATCTTTTCATCTCATTTCATTCTAAGCTTTCCTTTCTTCATTTCAAACAAAGATTAGCCCAATATTTTACATTCGTTATGAAACAAAATCTATGCATATGTTTGTTTATTCAATTCATATGCTTCTTATTATCTAGAAATTCTATAAAAGTATTTCATCTTTTAGCTCTATACACCATCATCATCATCATCACCAGAATCATCAACATTATTATTAAATAGTTTACTTGATAATAATAACATGATAGCTTTTCTAATCTTCTGTTCATTTTTTTCATTTTCTAATTCAATTTATTTCTTGCTATATATATCAAAACAACTCTGAAACAGCTAAATAAAAAAAAAAAGATGCATAAATAAAAAGGAAACAACTAACTATGGTTCATTTTATAGCATTTGTATAAAAACATTAAATTTCACAGCTTAAATATGAAAATGTTTAAATAATTTATTGCAACTCAAGAACATGTCGGAATAGATGAAAAGTTGGATGATGATGAGAAGGATAAGAGAGAGAGAGAGAGAGTCTGAATGGTGCAAAAGATACGGAAACACTTATAAATTCAAGCAAAAGTTGTTCCATACACTACAAATAAAAATAAAATACTTCCTCCTCTCTTTGACATCCTCTACCGATATCAACGAGAAATATATGGGAAAAGAAATATATGCATTCTATCTTATAACAAAATTCAACTTTCAATCTCCTATAATCAATAATAGGTAATAGTTAAGTGGTAATAAAAAAGAGAAAAGAAATAGTAATATATAGTAAAAAAATAGTAAAAAAGAGAGAAAAGTAATAATAACAATTAGAGTAGTAAATAATAATAATAATCAGTATTCGTAGCAATATTCAACATAGTTTTAATTACTAAAAACTCTAAAAAAGAAAAACAGTCACAATAAAAATGTGTGACGACTACCTCAGATTATTAATAGCTCAAATTAGGCCAAACTAAAAAGCAAATGAAATCAATTAAACTAGAATTGTATTTGAGAATTAGAGATCGTAGTAGAGTAATGGGAAAAAAATGTTAAATATAATAATGTAAAAAAAAAAATATTGCAGTAAAAAATATTATAAGATAAAAGTACTTTAGAACATATCAAATGCTATTTATATTAACACAATAGCTTGAGATGAATCCGCTAAGTTTGAAACCTAAGCATAAAAGATATTATTTTATAACAATATAAAAAAGTGTCGAAAAAATGAGAAAATCTGCAAACTATTATTCAGTATTTCTTATGAATGCATTCTTATCACAAAAAAAGAAACTTATCATTTATAAACTAAGCATAATTCATTATCTAAATGAGATATTATCCTAAAAAGTTTTACAGTTATCAAAATTATCTTTTCTTTCGGGTACCTTCATCAATATAGCCGCTTTATTTACCAAATATCTAAAATCCATAACAAACAATAATAAACAATTTTTTAAAAACAAAAAGTAACAACCTGTATATAAGTCATTGACATATCTTTTGCTAAACGTTCTTTTTCTTCCCGACAAGGGTAAAGATTATCACCATGCATTGCTAACCATGCATCAAGCATTGCTGCCTGAAAATATTACACATTTATTTTTCTGCGAAAACAAATTCACTTTTTTCGCTCTGTTTTGACAACTGAGATTAAAGTTCAAATGATTCATTGATAAATGTCAACATATATATGTGACACACAAAACCATCAAATACATTTTGAAAAATATTTTTTTTTTGTTTCTGATAATAAGCTATACCGATGATAAATAAATGTATCGTCCATTCTTTAAATGCTAAATTTAGAGGAAAAAAAATTTACCGCTTTATCTTTCTATTTCATTTGTATAACAACACAATATGCAGAACAAAATTAAAAAAAATAATAAAAAAGAAATATGACTATTTTTACTTTAAAACTTTAAAAAATTGCAACATTTAATTCAACAAATAAAACAGCAAAATGTGATGCAAGTGCTACAGATTAAAAATATGACAATTAATCAAGTAACAATAAATGTATTATTATTCAGGTAAAAATACAGTTACAGAAGATTGATATATATATAGTACATAATTATAACTAAAATTCCTTCTTACTAATTAACTACTAATTGACCTGAAAAGATGAACTACCTTTGCCTTGATTAACGTTAATGGCAATTTATAGGAAATCGAAAAGAAAAAAGGAATTGCTATGTTATTATACTAAGTTAAATGAAAAATGAAGTTATTAGTACATTCTGTTTCTTGTTTACTTCTATTAGGATCATTAATTAAATTAGCTCTTACTTTTATTCATTTCAAACTTTATTATTAAATCTAACAACTCTTATAAGTACACACTAATGAATAATTGAACATACAGAAATAGATAAAACTACAACAAAAAAGAAAAAAATAAAGACATTTTTCCCTTCACATCATTTTACTGTCGTCACATTATATTTTTATCTGCAGCATTACAAACCTGTCTCCTCATACTTCATTACTTCAAACAAACTTCATCATCACTATCATCATTATAATCTCATCACCAATTATTATTATTATTATCATCATCACTATTATAATGATCACCATTACCATCTCATTATTATAATCTAATCACAACCATCATCGTCATCACCATTATCATCTCATCATTATCACCATTATAATTATCAACATCATCATCTTCATCAATTATTATTATCATCGCTATCATCATTATCGTTAACATTAGCATTATTATTATTATTATTATTATTATTATTATTATTATTATTATTATTATTATTATTATTATTATTATTATTATTATTATTATTATTATTATTATTATTATTATTATCAATGGAACAAAGTCATTTTCCATCTTTCAAACAGCAATAAATTCATCCATTCACTACTCACTTACTTTACTTCCATTCATTCATCCATCCATCCATCCATCCATCATTCATTCACTCACTCACTCACTCACTCATTTACCCATGGGTATATTTCATCACTAAAAAACATCAATTTCACAGCATACATGCTTTTCTCAACCAAATTTCGAAATAATATCACACGAAACACATCACATACACATATATACATATACATACCTCCCTTCCCCCTTCCCTCTCTCTTTTATGCATACACTTTACAGACATATATATATTTCATCATTCATCGATATATATATTTATAACACAACAACTATATTTATATTTATTCATATTAAAGATATTGATTGAATGAATAAAGATTACGAAATAATAAAGTTTATAAATAAAGAAAGAAATAAAATTTTAATTGTGATTATGTAGTAAGAAGCATTAATATATTATCTATTTCAATAATTATTTGTAAAATAATCAAATTAGTTTTTTTTTTTCTCTCTCATTTAAATAATATAATATAAGAAGAAATTTTACAAAAAATTACTAACCTGTTGACGTTGCTTAGTTTTTTCAATTGCAGCAACAGATGATGGTGAAGAAGGTAAAATAAGTGTAGCTTCAGTTGTTGGTGATGTAGCACCATGTGGAAATACGTAACTTGCAACCATTTAGATTTCAAAATTTACACCAAACTATTTCCAATTTTATAGTTTAGTGAAATGCAATTGCTGAAAACAAAAAAGAAAAAAAATATAACTGATATAAATAAAAATTTGTTAGTCTAGTTATTTCAAAAATACAACGATTTAGCTCAGTAATGTTGAAGAGAGGAATTCTGATATGTATATTTGTCTATTGAAACATTCATGTTCGTCAACTGATTAACATATTTCATTCAAATACAAAATAATTCCTTATTTACAGGGAGAGAGGGAGAGAGAAGGAAAGAGGAAGAGAAAAAGTATATCATGATCAAAATTTAAAAAAGCATCTAAATACCATAAAGAATTGAAAGTTATGAAGTATATAACAAAGTAAAATCGCAAAAAGGTCATTTTCAATTGTACGGTAAGTAACCTTTCAAATTTTGCAGTATACAGTATTAATATCCCTTTTAATCCTGTTAAGAATCTATAATCAATTTGACCTCAACTTCGCGTTTATCACATCGACTGATAATTTTCATATTCTTTTCTCATCAACACAAAATATAACATCTCCTAGATAAATGTTGAAATGTTTCCAATTTTATATAATAAATCATCAAAATTTAACTGAAACGAAATAATAAAATCATGGAAGCAAGAAAAAGAAATTAACACTAAAGATTTCCTATTTTCTTTTCTGAACTTATATTTTATGTGACTGTTCACTGAACTAAAAATACTACATATTATTAATGGATAAGTAACAAAATAAAACTAAATGTAATAAAATTCGGGATGATACATTTGATAAAAAGTTTTTTTATACGCTATTAACAATATAATGAATGATGAGAAAATATTACATTCATCTACCTTCTCATTCGTGCAAAATTGTTATAAGAAAAAGATACGAGGCAATAATAATGGAAATAAACCGGAAAAAAGAACGAAGAATAAACAGGAAAGAAAGACATAATTGCAACAAATTACAAAAAATACATTAAAAAAAAAATTGTTAACATTTTTATAAAATGAATTAATAATTATTACTATTTTCCTAGCGCTAATTCTACTCTATGCTCTTCAATTTACACTCAACTTCTAAATTGCTAACTATCTTAATTTAAATGTTAAAAAATGAATTTCAGAAAAGAAAAAGAAATTATAATTATCCAGCAATTAACTACCATCCTACGAATGTAAATGCTACCATGGAGATTTAAGTAGACGACGATGAGAGATAATAAAACGAATATGCTTAGTGTTAGCCAGTGAATTGTTTAAATGAAAACTTAAGCATGAAGTGAAGTGTTAGAATGGAATAAAGATGACAGAGAATTCAATTAAATTTCAATTGATCATAATTTTTAATCTTTTTTAAAATTTTTTTAATAATTTTTTAAATTCTTTTCCATCTAAAAATTGACATAATGCATTATAATATAATAATCATTAAAACTTCTAAAAATATTTTATCAATATATTTTGTTGCGAAAATAGAAACTGCTAATTTAATTAATAATGCAATAACCTAACAATCTACACTGTTAATTAATATTAGTATGTATTCCTCAAACTATAAAAGTAAACCACGTAATAAATAATTTAAATAACAGATAACAATTAGTACTTTTACACAAGGAATTAAATATTTCAAAAATGATTCATTATGTGAATTATTTTTGTAAAATTATTTCACAATTTTATTATAATATGCTAATAACATATGATTACTATTATTTTCTATGAAATACAATAAAATGAATTAAAAACATAACAATAATAATTACACTTTATTCCTTCAAATTTTCTTCTCAAAAATCATCAAATATCCCAATATAAGTTAAAATGATTTGATACAAAAAAAAAAAAAAAGCATTAAAGATATAGAATATATCAACCAATTTTTAGACATAACATGACCTTTGCTTACTTAAGGCTAATTTTTTCATTCATTGATTCATTCATGATCACACTCAGATAAATCAAATCAATGCCTAATTGACCTTGCAAAATGATAGCTCTCTCATCATGCGACAAAATTTAATATGTATGGGTCATCCGTCACTAAAACGGATGTTTATCTTTCGCACACTAAAATTTATTAGTATCTCGTATGCTAAATCAATTTCTTCCTATTTCTTCATGTTTTCATTACTAAACACATACATATACATCAGAAATTAGTCATAAACATGATTCAGCTTAAAATTTTAGCAAATAAACAAATCATTTCGCAATAATATTGTCAACATTGTCATTGCTATCCTTACAAACAACAATAAAATGACTAGTCAATAGCAATAACTGATGATTCATCTATCATTAAATAAATTGATAGTAATGATTGAAAAAAAAAAAAAAAAAAAAAACGGCATCATAAATTTATTACTCTAATGTAGTAAATTGTTTTATAAAATTGAATTAAAATAATACTTTAAAAATAAAATTTGAAAGATGATAAATTTCCCTTAATTATATTACAATAAAAAAAAAAATTAACAAACAAACAATATTACTATAGCTTCTCTCATTATAATCCTATTCATTCAAAGCAAACACTAATCTTTTTTTCCAATCATTTGCTTTTCATATTCATAACACATTCCATATTAATACCATCATTGTTTATCTTTTACTGCTATAACAATAACAACAACAACAACAACCACTACTACTACTACTACAACTACAAAATAGCAGTACTAACAAAGAATAATAGCTACTGAAGAAAGCAAATAAAATGAGTTAGAATAATTTTACAGTATAACAACACATCACAAAAGCAATTTAGCAAAAAAAAAAAAAATGTGCATCGGTATGATGAACGGGGCTGTATCAAAAATCGGGCAATCATCAAGTCAGTCAGTCAGTCAATGTCATGAGATTGTAAATTGAAGAATGCCTTGTAATGATACCTAAACCAGCTCATATCACTGTCAATCACTACACCTGTACCTGTGCCGTTTCTTAATCGAACCTTTCCTTTCTCAAATGATACAAGCAACGGTAATCACTATATGTTATCATTTTAACATTAAAAAAGATGAGAAAAAAAAAATTACTCAATGTAATTAATAAATAAATAAATTTAATCGGTTCAATTCATCTTTTTTCTTTTCTTTTTATAGAATATATGCTATATGCTTTAAAAGATTTAGAATTGATAAATGAGTAATCTAAGCAAATAACAAAACCACTAATAATGATATACATTAAAAGTATAGATGAAATATAATTAAATTTTATAACTTTTAGCTCTAATACATTCATAATGTGATCATTGTCACAGTAATAAATTATTATGAAATGACAAAATATAATACTTTAATATATAAGTTAGGCTTACAAATATTTTAATATAAAGAAAACCTAACGATAGAGCAAAAAAGTTATAAAATTTACATCTTAAAAAAGAAAATCTACATCTTATTATTTTATTATACATAAATTTGTAACAAAACGAATTAAAAGTTAGATAATAACACATCGCATGGTATCATACCATTTTATGGTATAATATCACATAATTCTCTCCCATTTCTTCACCTTTTCTTTTTTTTTTTCCTTTTCCGCTAAACAATATTTCAGGAATACAAAAATATATTGAAAAAATAATAATAAATAAATAAAGAGAAAGAGAAAGGAAAAAATAGACGCAACATTTAAATTTTAAAACATCTGTATTAAAATAGACAATAGCAACAATTAATTTATAAACAAAATAAAAAAATGAAACAAGATAAAATTAAAAAAAAAAAAAAAAAGAATTGACTGAAAAATAGATAGGAAATAAAAGTTACATTAAATGTTTTAATGAATAAATGAAAAATAGTTAAGTGAGGATGTGCAAGATGTAAATGATGACAACATTCAATATATTGCATTAGGACAAGAATTGAATTCACAAATGGCACATCAATAATTCAAATGACAGCTGTATCAACTAAATTCAACATAAATAATAATGCATTTTTATTTCTATCTCATTCCACATCAATAATTCTAACAATTTCAACAGTAATTAACTTTATATGATGATAGCTTATTCAACAAATAATCACTGTGAAAATTTTTTCATGATAGTAGGATAAGAATATAGTAAAATTTATTTATATATATAATTTTTATACTGATCTAAATATTTCTCAAATATTCCTAGTAAATGATGCATAAATGATAAATTGATTTAAAAAATCTAAAAACTCTTTTCTCATCTTTTTTTTTTTTTTTTTGATAATAACAAATAAACTGCTTTTAATTATTTAAAGAAAACAAACCTTAAGAAAATATCATAATTAGATTATATCATTATCTTTAAAAATGTTAAATATAAAAGACAGTTTACTGTTAGCAATGTATTTTCTGTTTTCATTTTACGTTTTACAGTATTGGTGTGCGCAATCATACCATAAATTTAATACATGAGCAAAACCAGTTCGAAATAAATGTCTAGGAAAATCAGGTATTCTTCGTTCATCAACAGAAAAAGACATGAGCACCAGAAAAATAATCACCTAATAGTTGTACATTTTTGGAAAATTATAATAGCATGCTAAAAGGAACAAAAATTTAATTTTAATTCTTTTTGTTCTCTTCGTTATAATTTCAATTTAATCTATTAAAATTTTAAAATTAAAAAAAAATTTAAAAATCAAAAAAAAAAAACTAAAAAAATAGTTTAAATAATTAAAAATTAAAAAAAAAACTAAAAAAAATTTCAATGGATGTGATAAAATAAAATAACAAAAGACATAAATAAATGATAACATTTTTTTTCTGTTTTCTTTTTTTCTATCAATTTAAATTAATAATACACAAGAACGGATATATAATATATACCAGATATTACTAAAAAGAATGCAAATTGATGGAACATGTATCTAATTTTTCATTCTTATATCTTTCACGTTATTTTCTTTTATCTTCGCCAATACTACGATTTATTACAACTTTTTTTTTTTAACAAATATCTCCAATTTATGTAAAGCTAAAAGATTTACTAATTGACAACTACAGTT